TATTAATTTAGGTCAGACGAAAGAAGAGAGAGAGAGAGAGAGAGAGAGGAGGGGTTGGAATGTCTAGCCGCTTGGTCGCAGCCTCTCAGCCACCCTAATAGCTTAATTAAAGCTACCCTCACTTGCAGTTTGCCCATTTGCTCCAAGTTTCCAACGGCCTACTTGTGCCGGTGTACAAGCATTAAGGAAAAAGTTACCGTTTTTTATCACGCGTTTTTATATACAGTTAGTTGCAAAAATACGTGTACACTGTAAATTTGAAATATTATACAAAGAACGTTAGCTCCTTTTTAATCCTTTTTTAATAAATTTTTCTTTTTTCTTTTGGAATAATGAACATTGGTCGAATTAGGACACATTTTAATAAGTGTTAATGTTGTTTATTGAACTCGTTATTGAAAAAAAGAAAGTAATCTCACATACAGTTTTTCACAGTTACAACTGTGAAATTGTAAAAGATTAAACTTAACGATATTAGAGATTAGTAAGTAATGTTATTTTAAGAACTCAGTTTTAATAAAAAGATAATAACAATTATGTTTGTTTTATATTTTTCATTTTTAAAGAATATTTTGTTCTTTTCAATTAAAATAATGTTTTAAATGTTGATTTCCATTTTTAAAAAATTTTTCGTTTAAAAAGTTTTGATAGTAATGAATAAAATAGATATTAATTAATATATATATATATTTAGATATTGTTGTTATTTATTAAAGTCAGTTGTATTATATATTTAATTTTTTACTAATAAATTGTAACAATTTAATTTTATATTTCTTCCTTAACATTCATGATAATATATATAATCATTTTAATATTGATAAAATTATTCTATCTGATTTAATTTCAACTTGGGCTTTTTTAAAAATATATTTCTAAAAATTTTTTATCTAAAAAACATTATATTTTCTTATTTGATTGCTTAAGTATGATTAATTAAAATAAAACATCTAATTTAATAAATAATATTTGTAATAATATTATTTATTAATTTTTATTATTAAAAAATTAAATAGTATATATATATATATATATAAAATAAATAATTAATTATAATGCAAAGCTTCATTTGCAATTTATCGATTAATTATCAATTTATCTATTACAATGAAATTAAAAATATATATATATATAAAGTAATAATTAAATTAAATATTACATTTATAGTAATAAAATTTATGTCTTAAATCTTTTATATATATTTTACCTTATCTTCATCCTTTATATGTTAACTCTATTCTATCTGATAACATTATTTAGCTTGAACTATAAGCATCATTATCAAAAGAACATGTTTCAGTATAGCAACTATAAATAATAAAGTATTATCCACCGTAGACATGTTCAATAGTTGGATCAAATATCATATCATTGCCTCGAGGTTCCAGTTACTCCTACTATTACATATTACCATCTCGATACAATAATTTGCGGATAAAGAGGAGTTCAACTTCATAAGAGGAGATACAGTCATTGTCGCCGATAAATGATGCATTCCTTCGAATAAAATCCACAGCTGCATTTACGAACGAAGTCATTGTTATTAAGCAAGAACAAAGAAGCGTAAATGCGACCGGGGAAACAGCTCCCTATGTAATTTACATCCTTTCGAGCATAATGTCCATAATTACCAACAATATAATTTTTTTTCAATCGGTCGGTATTTCGAGCGGTACCGACAATATCGATCGAGCATCCTTTTGAAATTTGCAAGCGTTCTATTCTATGAATTTTATATATTATACATTTCACACAAAATATAATCTTTATAAAATCGATTTTATGATATCCGTTTAGAAGTACATTATCTAGAATATCTAAATATCATTGCATGGTTTTTTTTACATTTTTATAAATAGCATTATTTTTTATCATAATGAATTGTAAAATTGAAGTTATATAATAATTATAGATGTCGTAAAGTACGTTTAAGAGTAAAATTCTTGAGAATTATTATTATCATTTTTCACTAATAATCTTATTGAGAATTCTTCGAGAATAATTGTTTTTCAATATCAGTTCTAAAAGAACAAACATCCGACATTTTAACACCTGATAAAGCTTTCATCGAGAGTAACATGTTCAATTATTAACCAAGATATTAACATTTATTAAATAGATTATTAATAATAGTAATAAAATTATAATATAACAACATAAAATCAAAGAAATTTGCAAGTATTAAAAAATTTTATATTAGAGAAATATCAACTAACATTTATATTTTTTAATAATCTCTATTATATTTTGATACATTCATTTTTTCTCTTCATTCCATCTCTTTTTGCCTTTTATTTTTCTTCCATCTTTTCTATTTATCTTTTCACCACCCTCTCCCTTTCTATTTATCTCGCTTTATTCCACGCTTTATCTTTTTCTCTTTCCCTCTTCATTTACCAGCTCTCTTTCTCCTTCCAGTAAGTATCTTTCTCTTTCTTCTGATGGTGATGACTGAACGCAATGGAACAGGAGGGTTGGTTCCCAAGTTATTATTATTTAGCCGCAGATATACATTCGTCCCTTTAATGGACCGACATTTACTTCCACGCGTCTTCGCAACCTCGATGTACACGCACACACGTGGATCCATTCGGAAATTATTTGGCTGTGCTGGCTCGAGCAAAGGAAAACTCTCGACAGGGCAACTGAATGCCGGTACAAGTACCAAAACCGTCATCGAGCCCGCCGGTTTTATACTTAAGTAGAATTGCACTCTTTTCGATGACAAGTACGTAATATGTACGTACATTCCCAACCATAAGTCACCGAATATTATACCGCTCTTAAAAGTGAAAATGTTTTATCTGGAATATATAATGTGTATACTAGTATATAATTGCAACCAAAGGGTGATTTTAT